AAATTTTTTCCAGAATTAAATAATTATTATATAGTAAAATTACATTCTATATTTAAATTTTTATTCCATCTTAAAAAATGTCATTCCAATTTTAAAAATTTTCTTCTTACTTGAAAAATTTCCTTCCAAGAATGGGGTATCCCTTCTTATTTGAATTGCATGCTAGAGATGAAATGAAAGTCTGGATGAGTTCATGAAATATTTTAATTGGACTGCCATTCTAAGTAAAGATTTTCAGTCGTAAATAGGTTAATCCAATCGAAATTATAAAATATTTGTTGTAGTAGAATGAAATTTTAATTAAAACATTTGATAAACTCGTCCAGACTTCCATTTCATCTTGAACAAATAGATGTAGTTGGGAGAGAAAACTCATATTTAGACGGGAAATGATCAAATAAAACTGAAAATTTTAGAATTGGACGAACATTGGAATAACAATTTATAAATATGAAGGATTTTTTTTTTTAAGAATGTTTGTCAACTTTCATTTCTTATGGGAATTTTTCTGTTGGAGTTTACATCAATAACATGAAAATCAGAATCATCATATAAAAAAAAAAAATCATGATGTAGGATAGGGGTCAGTGCAGAACATTTGCACTCTGAACCACACATGACCGTTTTTCGTCATACAACTCGTCCCCCAAAACCTTAGCCATGTTTGTGGGCTCAAGGAGGAAAGTTGACAAACAATTTCGCTTTGTGTCTTCCGACTCTAAATTGTCCGGAATTAATCTCATATGTAGCTAGAGTAACTCAAAAATTGAGTAACACTTTAGTTAAATACGATGCGAACCCTGTTTTTGCCGATTTGGTTATAACATAGAATTCGTGAAAACCTAACAAAAAAAATTGTTAGGTTTGCACGAAATTTTTTAAAGATTATGATAATATTTTTTTCGGGCCTCCTACATGAACAACATTCTATGTGAAGTAAATTAACCGCAAAAAATGAGTAGAAAAATACTTTTTAAAACCACTAGAAGTTGTCAAGAGAGAAGCAAGTCTTTTTACAAAAAAATCACTACCTTGCAAAGCACCATTTGTTCAAGAATCAAAATATTCCAATTTTGTTTTATTAAAAAAAATCAAATTTATAGTTCCATAAGGTATGGAGCACGATGAAACTATTCGGGGGTTTCCTTAACAGGCACATATATTCTTTTATTTACGAATACATTCTCTTGGATATGTTTCCTCATACATAGACGAATATATTGTTAGCTATTTTTATTAAAATATATATATATTTTTTTTTAATTTTAAATCGTGGTTGGCTAAGAATTCGAAGATGTTGTTGAGGCAAAAGTTATTTGAATTTTTATTTTACATAACATATATTTTTTGACAAGGATTTTACAGTAAACTTAAAAATGTATTATATTAATTTATAGTTCTATAAACTAGTTTTCGCAAAACTTGGTTTTTACCAAACTGCTGAAAACGATTTATAGTTCTATAAATGAGTATTCACTGAAACTGTTTTTTTTAACGTTTTGGGAGTTCGTCTTGCAGTCCTTAGAGAGTGTCTTGTTTGAGCTATGTTTTTTTTCAATCTACTGAAAACGACTTATAGTCTTATAACATGTTTTTTTATTGGAAAGAATTTTTTTACACATTTTGATAATCACTAACCTTTTTGCCAATCTTTTTGCCTCATTTATCGGAAAACAGTTAAAAACGCTCTCTTTTATGTGTCAAAAATAATAGTTTGACTTTCATTTTTTCATTCTATAAAAAATATTAGGTTTTGTGGTTTTGTTAGGTTTTAACATTTCATTGTTTTATTAAAGAATGTTTAAACACAAGTATAGTTTATTTGTGTTCAAGTATGTCTGAAGCATCAAAATGGTATGATGGAATGATGAAAGGTTTGAATGCTAATCAATTGCAATTTATGAATTAAAATTACGTACGTTCAATGAGAGAAATGAGCGTATCCTAAGTGATGAAAAAAAAGACACTAGAAAACAACACTGCACCACTTGTTTTTCGAAGTGATCGCTTTGCACGTTTTCAAAAACCCAAGATTTATGTTTTACGCGAGCAATGCATGCGAAACAGACAGTTTCCACTACAATAGGCATAAATGCATGATTGGTACCACAAACTTCATTACATTGACTATAGTAAACTCCTTTTCGTTTTGTAAACGATGGGAGTTAGGTTTCATAAGGATAAATAAGCTTAAATTAGTTAAACACAAGTTAACTTTGGAGACTTTCATTACTCCAGAGGTCGTTGTGAAATCTCCGCCAACGTGTTGCGAATCACATATTCCGAACATATCTTGTTTTTAAAGTGCATACGTCGTCTAGCCAACAATAGGAATAACCTCACTTTGTTCTTTACTTGAACTGCCAATGATAATAAAATCCCTGATCCAGACTCTTTTCGGTCGGTAAGTTATGAACCACATTCGAGATGTACATTCCTACAGACTCCCACCGGAGATGTTTATACAAAAAAATAATAATAATAATAATAATAATTTTATATTAAAATTACATTCTTAATTTTCAATTTTTATTCCATTTTAAAAATGTCATTCAAATTTTTAAATTTTTCTTCTTACTTGAAAACTTTCCTTCCAAGAATGGGGTATCCCTTCTTATTTGAAGTGCATGCTAGAGATGGAATGAAAATCTGGACGAGTTCATGAAATATTTTAATTTGATTGTCATTCTAAGTAAAGATTTTCAGTCATAAATAGGTTAATCCAATATAATTTAGAAGATACTTGTTGTAGTAGAATGAAAGTTTAATTCAAATATTTCATAAACTCATATAGACTTTCATTCCCTCTTGAACAAATCGATGTAGTTGGAAAGGAAAACTCATATTTGGACGGGAAGTTATCAAATAAAACTGAAAATTTTAGAATTTGACGAATATTAGAATGATAATTTATAAATATGAAGGATTTTTTTTTTTTAATAATATTTTTTCATCTTCCATTTCTCGTAAGAATTTTTTTGTTGTAGTCTTCCGATGTTTCATTAAGGCAAACGTCACATGCAATATCAATACTCATGCCCTTCTCCGCGCACAGACCGCCTTTGGGACACTAGAATGAAGGTGTACCCATTGCAAACCCCCCATTTTGACTTTTAGTGAGAGCCCAACAACAAAGATATGTAAAATGGAACCTTGTTGCTACCAAGTGTCTGAGGTCTCGCACTCTGTTCCTTTTTCCTCCTGCTGTTCCAGATGACAACTTGGAGTGTCGAAGCCTTTGATCGTAAGGCAGACGTATGCAACTTTCGATGTGTTGAATCCCCTTGGATGAGTGGTTTGACAAAGTCCAAACTGTTCTGGTAACATATGTCTTTCAGCTCTTGTAGGGGAGTCCATCCAAAACAGATGAGTACTTTTGTAGGTTCCCATCCGTCGTCAAAACCACGTCGACCTCTAACCAGTGTCCTCGATTTTGCAACTGGTTCAGTTCCCCCTGCCTGTGGAGGGATGTCTTTCCCAGTCTCCACCTCGAAATCTGTTTTCCCCCAATTCTCGCTCGCATTCTCCACTCGTACCTGTCTTTCCCTGTTAATAAGGTTCCTGCAGCATCCTCATCCACTTCTTTGAGATTGCTCTGATAAGTTAGTCATTGTGCTTCTCCACTCTGATAAAACCCCTCAGTTGTTCTCTCTGACTACCCAACGACTTCCATCTTCCTACATAGACCAGGTGACGAACCTGCCATAGCAACGAAGTTCCCTGGCTTGTTGGCCACTGAGAAGGGGTGATCAGACAAATACGTAATTTCGAGGTTCTCAAATAGGCAAGTAGATAGTATTTGGTTACGGTCAGTAGGGGATGGCAGTGTACAGGGTAACATGTGACTCCAGGCCTTGAGAATAGGCGACCACGTAGCATAATTGACCTTTGGGACCATGAGATGCATGAGGGGGGACGACCGTACAACCTTCGGGTCGTATAGGTTCCACTCCTCTGCCAGTGGAGCTTGTGCCAACGTGATTGATCCATAAATAGGGTTTTGTGACGGTGAACATTTTCATTGGCTTTTTGCGACTGCATGTCGTCTCAGAGCTCACGGGGGAACCAGGTCCTCCAAATTCCAAATCCCAGGTCAGGACTCATTTGTGACTGGAAATGACCTTGCAGCCCAAGGCCAAAACAGGTGCAAAAAATTCAAAATACCGGGTGAAGACCGGAAATGACCCTTGATTTAAAACCAATCTTGGAATGATCAGTGCCAATTGAGTTCCCCCTCGTGGATGGGGAACGATTGGTATCGCTGGCCAAAAGCTCTGGGGGTTGAGCTCGGTACTGATTTGTGTGGAAACTTGTGGCAATTCTCCTGGAGCAGACCCCATGGTTGGTTACAGCTCCCACGGCCCCGGTTTTCGTCTTTGCAGACCCATAGTTCCAACAACGTCGGAGTTATCTTTTCTTTCCTAGACATCACGGCTACGGTTAATTTTCTTCATCTATAGTTGGCCAGTTTCTTTTTTCATCTGTTATTTTATTTCTTCAAGATCTACGGCGGGAGCATCTACCGAGCAATATCATTGGCTCATCTCGAGGTACCATCGGGACTCACCCAGCAGGAAGCAGTCCCTCGGCAGTCTGACCTCCACTACTTCCAGGAGCAGCAAGAGCATAAGTAACTGGCACAGGACCGGTCGCATCAGACTGCGTCAACTCACGCTGCGGACTCTTCGGATTCCTTCAGCCAGCCGCTGCGCCCATCACGTAGGCAAACCTGCAAGTCACGTCAACACAGTCAGCCAGCCGCTTTGAAGAGTGCTCGTCTTTTTGGCGAAGCGGCCCCACCCACCCTCGATTTTCCCCCGGTGTGTGGGCCTGGGCCAACTCTATGACTCTCTTCTGAGCAATCTGGCATCATCTGTGGAATGACCATTTACTATTTTATCTGGACGGGGCTTGGCTATCACCATCCGTATCGCCAGCAGCCCCCCCCTTCATGTGATTATGATCACCGGGAGATTCGTCCTCTGCTGCGGTCGTGACCCGCGAATCCCGCATTTGCTGCGCACGCGGGAAGACACATCAGACAGAAGTGAGATTCGAGAGATGCGCGCGCGGTGAAGAAGCGCTCTCTCTCAAAAGAACTTGCGAAAAGGTGACAAGGACAAGGAGCACTGCCGTCGAGCAGGTGGGAGCGAGAGGGAGTGGCGGGAAGATATCCAGACTGCGAAAGAGGGAAATAAAATAAGAGCACTCTGGTGAAAAGCGGCGGCGCCAAATTTCGAATGAACCGAGTGACCAGGGTAGCCGCTCTTCCGTAGTGAATCGAAGAGAAAAGCGGAGAGCCGGGGAAAGAACATACGCACGACACACACACATACACACATACACACACACACACACACACACTACACACACACACACACACACACACACACAGACTACAGACACACACACTGCACACACACACACACTCACACACACACACTACACACACACACACAGACACACCCACAGATACACACACACACGCACAGAGATACACACACACACACACACACACACACACACACACACACACACAGAGATGATCCAGAATGCTGTGCGAAGTTGCGGGCGGGCATTATCGAGCAGTCATCTTCCGCAGGAGGCGGCTGTGGCTGCTTGCTGCCATTTGCGTAGGCTTGTGACACGTGGACATGCCACAGCGGAGAGTGCGGCGTGTTCATCTAGCATGGACGGGAGTGACATCGGTTCGCATGAGCAGGTAGCGCAGTCTGATGCGGAGACTCTGAGGCGCTATGATATCAAGCTTGGAGACATTTTGCAGCTGGAAAAGGTGTTCACATATGCTGACGTGGCACAGTTCGGAGCGTTGACAGCCGATTTTAATCCTATCCATATGGATGACGCAGCAGCAAAACAAGCGGGTTTCAGTAACCTTGTCGTTCATGGAATGCTCTGCTCCAGTCTCTTCCCAACCGTCATAGCGAGGCGATATGTGAGCTTCCATCCTAACCCCTTTCTCCCATTTTCCCGCACTTTTTCCCATTTTCCCCGCACTTTTTCCCATTTTTCCCGCACTTTTTCCCATTTTTCCCGCACTTTTTCCCATTTTTCCCGCACTTTTTTTCTGCTTGGTGCCATCCCTTTTTGTAACCTGGTTCCTCATAGGAGATGGATGGAAGGATTTGTAAGCAAAAAAAATGGAAAGGGAGCTCCTGATGATCCCTCTGTCAGACCGACTCATGACTGTTTAGCATTCATCCCTGCTGCGGTCCTCTGCTCTTCTCCCCCCCCCCCCCCCCCCTCTCTCTCTCTCTCGTTCTCTCTCTCTCTCTCTCTTCGCTGTCGTCGCGTTCCTCTTCACCTCGTCCGCTTTATCTTTTTCCCTGACCGATCCCCCCGCTTCGGTTCTCTTCTTCTACCGTCTTCCCCGGAATATAACGCACGGTCATTGTTGCTGTATTTGAGGCAGCTTTCGGTCTATATACAGCGATAATGGCCGTACGTTCTACTCGTTATGTTACTCTAGTCTTTTCTCTTTTGTCACCTCATCCCTCTCATTTCACAATCTCTCATGCTTGTCTTTTCTCTTCAGCCGACGCTTCTTTCTGTCCTGTCAATCTGATATATAAAATCTCTCACGTTTTTCGTAATCTAATCATCGTCATGGATCGCTACTCATCTGTGCATCTTGACGTCATTATAGCAACTGTGCGCGGGCTTTTCCTACTGTCGTTAGGCGAATATAAAGCAGGAACATTTCAGCTGTATGTGGTCAGCTTTCAGTCTAGATACGGCGATAACGAACCAGGGTTCTATTCCGGTGAAGACGGTTGCCTTCCCCTGCTCTTACTTTGATCGATCGTTGACAAACGGACAGGTGTGCCTGAGCACAGCTGACGCTCCAGGCCAATCGTCACTGTTGGATCGAGACGAATCCGACGGATGGACAGAAGGACGGCCGGAAGTACGTGTACGTGTGTGAGGGTCTCGCTCCGCTCCTCAAACAGTTTGCATGAAATGAATCTGGACTGCAATGCTGACCAGCTACTTTCGAACTCGTCCATCATTGTGAATGTATTGGGGCCATTTCCAGCTCCAGATTCATTTAGAATGTTGTGCAACGCAGCGAGGCCGACGGAAGGATGTACGGAAACGTGTGTTAATTTCGGGCGAAAGTTTTCGGCTGATTCTACTATTATTTTGGCGCGGGCAATTCGTAACCCGGGGGGCGGGGCGCGCGAGACGCGGCCGCACGTAGTCTCCTACATCGACTAGGTGCATTTCCTGTTATGAAGATGTGTGAATCCTGCGTAGAAATAAAGAAGAAGGGATCAGGTCGGGATCAGGTCGTCGTGCGTGCCTTGGAGAAAAATGGAATGATGATAAAGAAATTCGCGTAGAAAAAAAGAAGGGATCAGGTCGGGATCAGGTCGGGATCAGGTCGTGCGTGCGTGCCGTAGAGGGATAATAAGGAGATCTCCATTCCGTTGGTTGGCCGAACCGAAGAAGAGATTCGCCTTCTGGGGCGAGATCCCACCTGCGTGGATTGATTCATCTTCTTCTTTATCGGTGGCCGTTGATCTCTCGAAATCGACGATTGTATTTGAACAATTCAGTGGAGGGGGAATCGGGAGTGTAAACTACAAATAGAAATCGAACTAGGCAAAATGTGGTTATATCCCCTTTAGGAATATCGGTAGTATTCTAGCGTGCACGGCTCAGCTCTGCCTTTTGTATGTTCTCCTCTTTCCTCTTCCCYCCSCCCCCCCCCCCCCCYYCCCCCTCTCCGCCGCTCCCCTCCTGCCTCTCTCTGTCTCTCTCTGTGTCTGTGTTTCTCTCTCAGAGTCCATGGCACTCACCGATGGAGAGCGAGATTCACATTTGTCAGAGATCAGATCGAGAGCGAGCTTTACATCTGCCGTACATAGGTCAGTTTCAGCGGAAGGGTACGGCATTTGACGTCTGCTTAGCGTCCTGCCATACATAGGTCAGTTTCAGCGGAAGGGTACGGCATTTGACGTCTGCATAGCGTCCTGCCTTATTCACATCCTGTCGTATCGACTTTTTCATCATTTGGCTAGGTACAACTTTTACATTTGTCCTTCCTTTTTTTTTCCCTCACATACATTTGTCCTTCCTTTTGTTCTTCCTTACATGGGCCTTCGCACTTTGGATAAGTCGATTTCGATAAATCGGTCTTTCACGCGAAGTTTCGACGAGTCGTTTTACTACTACTAGTAGTATTATACTACTCGATTAGGAAACGCACTCCTAAAATGGAAGAAGTCGATTTCAATTGGAACTTTTTTCCGCCGTGGCGGCGATTTCTAGGCGTGGCGATCACATTCCCGGATGTCGGCGATTTCTAGCCGTCGATTAATCTCTGCGGGGGCACACTCCCGGATGCCGATGAATTTGTCCTGGTCCTTTTCGCGGCGGTGCTTTCTAGTCGTCGATCAATCGAGGGTTTACTGATATGGCACGGCTGGTAATGATACAGATCTGCACTTTGATGAACGAGACGACGAGAGGTTGTATGGCGATGATGATTATGATGATGTATGGCGATGATGGTTATGATGATGGATGGCGATGATGATGATGGTGATGATGATGATGATGATGATGATGGTGATGATGACGATGACGATGAGGGGGTGGAATTTTATCTTCTGCTTACTGTAAACAACGACGTGCATGATTTCTTTCTTCTCGGTCAGGAGGTTGATTGTCTGATCAGTATGGATAGAGAATGGGGTGCCTGATTTAAATGTCTGGGGTCAGGGGGTTCAAGTTCAGATGGATCATGATTCAGAACGGTCATGCTGATTACGTGTACCAGTATTAAGTATTGCGTTATCTAATCGTCATTGATGGAATAATCGATGAGTGGTTCCCTCCAGTTGAGGAGGTGAGAAGACGCAAAATCGTATCAATTGCGTCTTAGCGGGCGTTGATATACCGTTGACGGGCAGTTACGTATCCTGCAGGTGGTTGTTGTCGGATTTCTCGAGGAGAGAAATACTACAGTATATTTATGGTTTAGCACAACACACGTCAAAGATACGTGAAGATACTAGTGGGTAAGATCTCGGGAAACAATCATGACATGACTCAACATACTAGTAATGCACGGGTATCTTCACGTATCTTGTTGAAGAAGCATGCTGCAGGTGGTTGTAGTCAGAGATCTCGAGGAGACAAATATTTTGTAGTTTACCGCAACACGTCAAAAATCTCGGGAAATATTTTGTAGTTTACCGCAACACGACAAATATTTTGTAGTTTACCGCAACACGACAAATATTTTGTAGTTTACCGCAACACGACAAATATTTTGTAGTTTACCGCAACACGTCAAAGATACGTGAAGATAAAGATCTCGGGAAACGAACATGGCATCACTCAACATAATTCACCTTGGTTGAAGATACATGCATCGAAAAACTACCCTTCTTTCCCCGAATACAACCCGCGGTCACTATAGCTGTATTTAGACTGATAGATGCCCCAAATACAGCTATAATGACCGTACGTTGTATTGAGGGGAAGAAGTAGCTGAAATGCTTGAAGTCTTTGTCAAAGGAGATTGTCTGTAATAACTCGCCTCCCTTTTATCCGAAGGGACCGAGCCTCTTATATCGTTTTATTTATATGCAGCAGCTTAATGGAGAAGTCGTGAAAGTGAAAGTGAGGTGCTGGTGGGCAATTAGAGCACCAGCGCGTGCTTGCTGACCAGGCTCGCTGCTATGTGATCAGGTGCAACCGAGGGTGCATTCCTTGATTGCCTCATGCTACCGTCTTCACCCGAATAGAACGCCCGGTCATTATAGCTGTATTTGGCGCAACTTTCGGTCCAGATGCAGCGATAATTACCGGGCGTTCTATTCGGGTGAAGCGGGTGTGCATGATTGGATCCCTGCAGCGCAGCGCAGAGGACGCTGCAGGGCGGGGGAGGCGTTTCGTATCGGCTGATCGATGTCATTATCTCTGTACCTAGACTGAAGTTGCACCACATACGACTAGTAGAGCGCAGAGCAGGGGATGCTCCAGGGCGGGGGAGGATCCCCGCAGCGCAGAGCAGGGGACGCTGCAGGGCGGGAGAGGCGTTCGTATCGGTTGATTGATTTGAACCGGTAGATAATAGTACTACCTAGCTTTGATTGTGCATGCCTTATGGCACGCCACGTGCGGGTCCGATTAGTCATGCATGTGGACTGGATGACGTGGATCATTAAGGAATGTGAGTGAGGGCTTGACCTGATTCCTCATCACACGATAGGATATGTGTCTAGCTTTTCCAAGATATACTCCTTGTAGGGAGGATGATTCATTAGACTTGACCCACTCTAGATCACCTTCTGTGACTTCAAAAGGTCTTCCATGTTTATTTGCTTGCCCAATCTTTTTATTATTACAAGCACCACGACTTGATGTTTCCCATTCTGGCTCTTGACAAGATTCCTGGTCTAGACTGTATAGAGATTGCTTCTCCGTGTCCTTTTTCGTGGTTTGAGCTATCCATCCCAATGGGCTCTGCTAAGAAGGCGTTTTCCTTTGGCAGATGGCACAGGTCCTTGCGTACGTAATGACGCGTCTTCTTCTGCCCTTTCCGGCCCGCACAAACTGTTCCAAAACGTTTGCGGAGGTTTTACTTTACGCTAGCCAAAATTACCTTCAGTGCGCCTTCCCCCAGGATTGGACGTTTGATGGATTGAATTCTCTTTTAGGAATGCAGATTTGTTTATTGTCCTTTATTGTCCTTTACTTGTGTGAAACGGCATTCCTAAAAAGGACAATAAAGGACAATAAACAAATCTGCATTGCTTGTTTATTGTCTTTTTTAGCCAAAATTACCTTCAGTGCCATGACCTTCACTCTGGTTGTCATCATGGAAGCTTTGCTTGTTAGGCAGACGCTTCAAGGCCTACTCACCTCACACCATGTGACCTTGGACTTGTTGACGACAACCAGAGTTGTGTGACACAAGTGGTTAAGAGAGAAACTCCCTCCCTGAGTCGTAGGTCTGATTTCTTTGGACCCACAGCAACTTACTGTGAGGTTGGGAAAAAAAAAAAAAAAAAAAAAAAAAACCCTGGACTGAAGGAAAATATTAAGCCCAATTATTATATTATTAAGACCTCAGTTTGGGCAAGGATAATTCAGACTTCAGAGAATAAATTCTGGATTTTTTCTGCAGTGTGTTTTTGAACGCTTGTGTATTATAATACTATATATTAAGTTGCTAAGAAAAGACAAGAAAGGAATTGTTGAACCATTCTGGCGTTCAGTCGTTGAGGCAAGTCATTTATCGATCTTCCAAAGAAAGGTTGCATTAGCGTTTGCCAGACCAAAAGTCATTACAACGTACTCATAAAACAGATTGGGAAAAAAAAAAAAAAAAGATTGAACCATTTATTGTCAGTCTGTAATGCTGACTTAATGAGTTGTCAGCCAGACACTAGACTTTGTGGAGTCCGGATGTTGATGACACCTCATAAAGCAGATTGAAATATTTATTAGTTTTGAGCAGAGTTTTTTTGCAGTGATGGGTGGAGATAGCAAAATATGTCCCTCCTCTGTTGGGGTAGCAGTGAAAGGAGCAATGTGTGGGGTGAGTTGTGTCAAGGGAGCCTGTGCTGCATTGGCGCTGATGCGTGTAGTGGTTATTCTTGGATTGCTGCATGTTTGTTTGGATAATTGAGGAGCCTACCATCATTGTGAGAGAGGTTTATCTATCGTCAAGAGAGGTTTTTAGCAGAGAGATTTTTTGAGTCCTCGAGGATATCATTTTTGAGTTTGCAGAGCTTTCTCTACATAGTTTTTGAGATGATTCTGAGTTTTCAGCAGCTGGTTCTGACTTGTGAGGTTCTCTCTAGATGTAATCTTGGCGTTGTTGTTTTGTGAATATTTGCTGACATGTAGTGATTAGCGACTTGTGAGGTTCTCTCTAGATGTAGTGTTGATTAGCAACTTGTGAGCACCGAGGAGAGGTAGATGTCGAATGAGGAAGAAGAGAAGTAGTAAGGTATCCTCAATCCGAAGTTCTTATTGCAGTATCTACAACACCTTTTTAAATGAGGAAGAAGAGGAGGAGTTGAACTTCAAGCTTGGCAAGCGGGAAGTGAATAATGAAACAAAATACTGAGATAGTATACGGGAATCTTACAGCGGGCCCGATAGGAAGTGTAGAACGAAGGTTAGTACTACATACGGCAGAGCTTGGAGTTGTATTTGGTGGAGCGCATCCTGTCTAAATGGAGGACGCAGAGGCCTTTTTTAAAATGCTGAAATCAAATTAGGAGGAATTTAGGACGGGAGGTGGATGGTTTTGCTCTTGGCAGCAGAAGTCGAAGTCGAAGACGTACAAGCCCTGGAGTGGCTTGTCTCATGAATGGCTCAGTTCCGGGATTGTTTATCTGCTGTTGTGTGAATCCTGTGCAAAAATTTCGTGGTGTTCAAACCAGTGACAACCACCAGTACCTTGGAGCCGTCTTTTGGCCTAGGTGGAGTAGAACTGCGCTCCAAGCTTTGTCGAAAGTGAGTGCCAGAGCGATCTTTTCTCTTTTGTTCTGGCTGGCGCCGCCAGGCATTTTGGTCCAGTGGCGCCGCCCGTCCTCCGAAGGATGCTGACTTCGCCTTTGCCTCTGAAAGGTAGAGGTGGTTTAAGGGCTGCCTCTCTTTTTTTTTTTTTTTTTCCTTCTGAAGAAGGAAAGAGGGAATTTGCAGAGCCCATTGGAGAGGTTGCGGCTTCCATGTTTTCAGGGTTGCACTTTCCAGTCTTGCACACTAGGAAATCTACTTGGACCCCTTGACTAGGACTTCTTGGCTTGGGCTCTCCTGAATATCCCGGCTTTCAGTTTTGACGAAGTTATGGGCTGGAGTTTGTTTGCACCTTCAAAAGCCGGAAGCCTGAAGCCACAGATCCAATCCTTTTGATGGTGGAAATCAACTTGGACCCCTTGACAGCTTCAGGCTTGGATCTGTGGGCCTGTGGCTTCAGGCGTTTGACACTGAGTCTGTGGCCTGGAATTTCTCGTTCAGAGTCTCTTCTCTTGTGCATGCTTTGTGGCTAGATACCTCTGGCTTACCTAGCTATTTTGGCTCTTAGGGTGTGCGACCTGCTGAATCTGAACGGCATGTTCTAGCCTGCATACTCTGGACCTCATGCTCTGGCCTGCATGCTGTGACCTGCATATTCTGACCTTCATATTCTGACATCATATCTGACCTGCATTCTCTGGCGTGCCTGATTTGGTGTATATTAGCCATTGGGCCGGAACGTGCCACCAGGTGGGTCGTATGTTGTGGTGTTAGGCTTTCTGCTGTGCACACTCTGGTTGCCGCGCATGCCCTGGCTGGTCTGCATACTCTAGCCTACTACATGTTATGGCATGTCTGATTTAATGTGCATTACCCAATGCACCACGACATGCGCCGGTGGCATGTCCTGCTGTGTATGTTTGGTGTGCCGGTTCTGGTGTGCACACACTGGTTGTCTCATACTCTCTCTCTCTCTCTCTCTCTCTCTCTCTCTCTCTCTGTCTCTCTCTCTCTCTACTCTCTCTCTCTCTCTGTGGCTGGTTCACACTCTCGCTCGCTAATGTGCTCTGCCGAGGTGGCAGACTCTGGTGGCTGGCACACTGTTGCTGGCCTGAACGATCTGCCTGGCTTGAAGATTCTGGCTGAATCTGCTCTGATTGCCTCGCACAATCTGACTAACTTGCATGCTCTGGCTGGCTTGCACTCACCAGGTAGCTGGCACAGTCTGGCTGTCTTGCAGGCTCTGGCTGGCTCGCACACTCTGGATGGCTTTTCCATGGCCTTGCTCACATGCTGGGTTGGATAGTCCGGTCGACTGGCACTGTCTGACTGGCTAGTTCATATGGTCTACTGTCATGCACGCCCTTGCCGACGCATACCTTTGCTGGTCCACACAATCGTTCAAACTCACACACTCTGACTGGCTTGCGTGCTTTGGTGGGCTTTCATGCTCTGGTTGGCTCGCATGCTCTTGCTTGCTTGCACACTTTGGCTACGTCGTATGCTCGGGGTGGGTCACGTACTTCGGCTGGCTTGCATGCTCTGGCTGGCGTGCCAGCCTCTGGTGGGCTCAGATGCTCTGCCTGCCTGATAGCCCTTTGCTAGCTTGCATAGTTTCCCCTGCATGTGTCTGTGCCGTACCTGGCTCACTTTGTCAGCGATGTTCGGGCTAGGATGCTTTCAGAGTAGCTTGTGGCACTCGAGTTTGCATGCTTCGGCTGGTGCACATGAGGTGGTGAGCTAAGACCAGTATGTGTGGGCTTGTGCATGTGGGCTGAGGCAACTTGGCTGTACATGCTTGGGCGGGGGCTGTCGCACTAACATGTTTGGGCTGTGCACCTCGGCCGGGGTGTTGGGCTCACAGAGGGGGGGTGGAGACAAGCCAGAGGAGGGTGTCAGGCTGGGGTTTTGCGATTGGGACCTCCTCTTTCAGGAAACTTGTCGCCCATCCGAAAAAGTCGGCGATGGTGCACGGTTGATAAAAGAAATCAGCAGCCGGTGTCGTGTTTCGGCCTCTGACATGTCCCCACGGCCGATGCGAGGCGTGTACCGGTGGTTTAAGCATCCTGGTTGCCCGGCTTCTCCAGTCTGCTCAAAGGTTCAACGCACAGGCCGGTCCCCTGCAGTTGGCTGCATCTGCAGCTTGGTCTTCCTCCAAATAGAACACACGGTCATTATTGCTGTATTTTAGGCAACTTCCGGTCTAGATACAGCGATAATGAATAGTACTCTTTCTTTGTATTTGGTTGAGGACGGTAGGTACAGTCGGGTACTGGACAGGACTAGTGGTCTTCAATCTTAATTGCAAACACATTTGGCAAAAATGTCCCCGTCTTGACAAATTTCCTTTTTTGTCCCTGAACTTTTGAACATTTTTTTAACTGACAGAGCTGAGCCCAGTCGCAGACTCTCTCAGCTGCAAGACTGTCTCAGCTGCAAGACGCTCCAGCTGCAAGACGCTCCAGCTGGAAGACGGAGGTTCTTGCACAGGGGTCTGTTAGAAATATGAAACGGTGCGCCACACGCCCGTGGCCGAATGGTGCACAGTACTACACACACATGTGACTGTTAATGAACGGTTCACGAGTTCGAATCCTGACCGAACCTGATATATAGAATAAGGTTAAAGGCTACGTCCTGTGGAAACGAAAAAACAAAGTAACTGTGAAACGGCTCCGGTACCATTGTCGACAATTTCAGAGGCAAAGTCTGTCATCCAGTGCCATGCGTGTTTGGTCTCCCTTGCCTTCAACATGTTTCAAAATTCATTTTCTTCCTTCTTTCTTTTTTCTGTGTTTCTCTTTTTTTTTTTTTTTGCTGTAATGCCAATTCGGTTGTGGCTTTCTTTCTTTTCTATTGTTTCCTTGGTTCTTAGCACTGCTATACTTTCCATATCTGCTCATTCTGCAAAGGCCTTGTGGACTTTTGTGATTGGTGCGGTGGTTGTTTCAGCCAGGGGCAGTGTATGTCTCGCAGACCCTGAAGTTTGTTGCTCCTGTATTTGTCAATGAGCCTCTACGAGCTCAAGTGGAGGTCATGAACATTGCTAATCACAAGGGAAGAAAAAGGTGAGTAATCTTCACGTCAAGGAATCTTGCCAGTGTTTTTTTTTCCCCTCTACAATGTGGAGTCGGTAGTCTTCGCCCAAACATAATGGCACCCTTGTTATGGCTGTACTGGACTGAACAGACATTTTGGATTCATTTATTGTCAGGATCTGTGTTATAAACCGGGCCGCCCGGGTCACCTTGTTTGCCCGGGCTGCCTGGTTGGGCAAGTACCAGGGAAGGTCCCTGTTTGCCTGTAGTAAAAACCACACAATCCGAAAAAAAAAAATGCTGTGCAGAACAGTGTTGCACGCGCCGACCGTCGGCGACCCCTGACTGGTCGGCTGCTGACCCGCCGACCGGTCGGCTGGTCGGCACCTACCGGTCGGGGGTCGTCGGCACCCCGCAAAAAAAAAAAAAAAAGTAATAAATAATTTTTTTTTTGGGTCCAGAACTCCTAATAACCCCACGAACACCCCATACCCACCCCAAATACCCCCATACACCCCCCCAACACCCACAAACCGGCCCCCAACACCCTCATAACCCCCCCCAATACCCCTTATACCACCCCTATACCCCCCTATATCCCCCTATACACCCCACCCCCGACCCCCCCATCCCCAAAAGTTTCTCAGCGGATTTGGGCTGTACTCAGCAAGCGCAGTACAGCTTCCAACTCAGATCTGAAAAAAAAATAGTGGATGG